GCAGTTAGAAAGCGCGTTTTCGGTTGTGTAACGGGTACTTCCATTGAAGAATGTGTCCAGCACCAGAAGCTGCGTTCGTTGGGACACATGTTACGTATGCCGAACCATCGTTTGCCGAAGAGAGTACTGTTTTCCATGCCCAACCCTTGACTTGGTAGAGTGTGAAGAAAATCGCGAAACGCTGGGGTGCTGTCGGTGCTACTCACCTTTCAGGATGGGGACCGCGTGATCCTCACTGTGCCTGGTTGGAGACACTACAAGATATGGCTGCCAACCGATGTCAGTAGCGTTCTTGTTGTCAGTTTCTATCCATATTGTCTGAGTGAATGCCTGGGGGCGTAGGCACCTCAGAATGATTGTTTTGAGCTAGCACTAAGTCCCTTCCGCGTCCACCTTTACTCTTTTCTTTACAATAAGGCTTTCAAATAAGTCATGGTTGTACGGCAGTGAAGCATCGGTGTTGAACACTGATGTCATACTGTCGATGATGATAATGATGATGCGGCAGGATTGGACTCGGTACCTATGGACGTATGGTGTGTATGGAACGATTGCTTCAGCTATGTGCTTTTATGCATCATCAACTTCCGAAATAGCGGAATTTGTTTGACCACATGGTATCTTCCAAAGGCGTGCCGACTACAAACTCAAATTGATCGCATTATCTTCAGTTACCAATGGTGCGGATCAATAACTGTCACTAATTCTGGAACACATTTGTGGGTTCCGACGTCATGCTCGTCCGGAGTCGCTCCTCCCTTCGTTTTTCAGAGCCACGTAAGGTAACGACAAATCGGTTGGAAAATGAGATCCGGATGTCTCTTCAATCTGCTTCAATATCACATGTAAATTTATACTCGGAGGAGATGGCCACGTCTTTGCATGGTGCTGGGAGTTTTGCCTGTGTTACGACGCTTCCAGGCACTCAAGCATTGGATATATGACCAAACAGTTGCACTGCCTACATTTCGGTCCCGAACATAAATGAGCCCGACCGGTTACCAGATATCGAGTGAAAATGGGCGTGCGAGCCGACCGTGAAGGCTGGTAGGAAAGGCGAGTAATACGGCCGCGCATCTGCCTACTGCGCAGCGGAATCATGGTGAAACAGTGCCGTATGGGTTAGTCCACACGTCGGAATCACGTCCGACCACATCATGTGCTGGAGGGAGGGTCAAAAAGAACCCACCTGGGCCCGCCCGATGGCCCAGGCACTCCGTACACAAGCGCACACATGGCCATCTACGACCAACCGACACGAAGAAACAAGCGCTCGATGTGGGTATGCAGGAGACACACTGGTTGGATGAGAGCAGATCGACCATCAAATACGGTCACAAGCGAATGCTATAAATAGAACGATGTATTTGCATTAATACAGATTTTCTGGCCGACTTCTTGCTTTCTGACTGTAACCCGGTAGCATCAGGGAAGACGAAGAGATACAACAGAGAGACAAAGAAATGGAGAAGTCCCAGGAAGCCTGGGATGGCCGAAGATTATTTCAATCGATCCGTGCGATCAGTCCCCGAAAACCGCCCGTGAACAATGAACAATGAAGAACCAGAATACAGCGACTACCCAGAATGACAGAGAACGCCTCGAACGTTGGGCCAAATACTCTGAACAACAGTTATCGTGGTCACCAGTCACAATTCAATTGGAGCCTACAGCTGACGTAGAACTCTGGACGGTAAACCAGGAGCCCCTAAAGTTTCGGAGGTTCATGACTCCATACGTTCTCTCTAGTGCCACCGAGCTCTTTGTCCGGATTACCTCATATCGACGCTTGCCTCATCAGCTTACCAGCATTTGACGAAAAACACGTTCAGTTGTAGCACATTTTCGGTGCTTGCCATGGCATCCGAAGAAAGCACGAGTGCTGGGATACTGCCAAGTTGCCCAAGCCTAGACAGGGGAAATCGAAAGGTAAAGGCCGGACCTTCCGGTCAGAAAATTCGCACTCTAACCACTGAGAAAAGGAGGCTGTTCCAAACAAATTAGGAGTCCGTGAAAGTGCTCGTTTTCAAAAAAAGGTCTCGTAGTGAGTGTGGAAACCTCAGGTGGAATCAGCGTAACCCTGGTTGTAACGAGGCTGTTGGCATCAATAGTGCTTCGTCTACATACAGTGGCTCGTGAAACACTGACTCGGGAGCAGCTAGCAGGATTCCAATATGGTGGGGGTTGAGTTGACAACATCTTCACACTCTGCCGGGTGCTAGGATAACGCCATCAGTATAAAACACCAACAATTTTCAAGACACATTCGACTCAGTTGACCGACACATTGCCCAGCAAGGAATGCACAATAAGTTCTTTGCATTTTCAGACTGCCGGACGTGTGAAGGTATACGAAGAGCTCTGCAAAAGTGCTTCGTACACACAGCAGTGCCCGTCAGGGGTGCCCACTTTCTCCATCGTTTAATTTCATGATCGATGAAACAACGAGATAACGGTGGAAGGTTTTCAAAAACCTGGTGTTCAAATAGCATGTGACGAAAAAATTGTTGATATGGGATATGCAGACGACACAGTTCTTACCTTCGAGGAATAGACGACCTAGGTGTCGTTGGATGGACCAGCTAAAGTCAACCCGTCCTTCGGCAGGTGCTTTTCACTCAGAGTGTGAGGTCACGCTCCTGGACATGCAGTCACTGAACACACTTAAGTACCTTGGAAGAGTTATTAGCCCCGATTGTAATGTGGCAGATGAGGCCAATGCACGGATCTTCAAGGCTCAGGGCGGGTTTGCTGATTTGCGATACCTATGGCGTCAAAGGGGCATATCCCTGAATCTCAAGGAACTCATTACGCAATAGCGCGGTTGTGAGACCGGGCCTGTTCGAGCAGCGGAACCGAGACATCTTCAGGTCTTCGGTAACCATTGTCTCAGAAGCATAGTTCGTGTGGGTTGATATCGGGGAATCCGTAAAGAGGCATTTAGAAAGCGAGTTTTTGGCTGTGCAACGGGAATTTCCATCGAAGAATGTGCCCAGCACCAGCAGCTATTATTTAGGCCATATATTGCACATGGCGAACCATCGTTTGCCGAAGTGAGCGCTCTGTTCCGTGCCCAACTCGGAGTGGCAGGAGCAAGGAGGTGGCCAAACCATCACCTAGGTGCTGTCGGTGCTACTCGCCTACAAGGATAGGCGAGTAGTCTCCACTGCGTCTGGCAGTAGATGCTGCAGGATATGGCTGCTAATCGATGTCAATGACGTTTTTCTGTCAATTTCCATCCAGATTGCCTGAAAGTGTCTGGAATGATTCTAGTAAGCTAGCACTTAATCCCTTTCCTGTCTTCCTTTATTCTTTCCTCCGCAATAAAGCTTTCAAATAAATCATGATTGTACGGCAGCGAGGCGTCAGTGTTGAACACTAATGCCAGGGACAGAAGTTCAATCTGGACGAAATGGAGACAGTGGCACACGATAAGGAATTCCTGGAAGCATGGAGCTCCACAAATGATTCAGTCAGTTAGCGAATCGAAATCAACTCTGTCTGCGGACCGTTATGTGCGAGGGACCGCCAAATCAATGGCATCACTGAGTCGGCCTCGGACTAACGGATCAAGAAACGGGACTCACTGCAGAGGCAAACGGACAAATATTACGATGGAGGGGAAGGGAAAAGTCAAGTACCAAGGTCATAAGCAAATTCACCAACTATAAGGTATGACAACCAACCGGAATGCTCACCCGAACGACCAATGGTCAACCAAGGTCGACCCTGGTGAGCAGATCCTATATCAACCCATGAATGCGTATCCACCACGCACTTCCACTCTCAACGAACTGATGGTGTGACCTCGACTGGTGATGAAACGTATGCAGTCAACTGGCCCGGCGACGCATCAAAAAAAAAAACCTACACATGTTTAAAAAGGATAACCACCCACCATAAAAATGTGGTCCCATATTAAGTCCATCTACTTGAAGGCTAAGAATTCACTCTCCATAGGTGAACAAAGTCCCTAACTACACGATGGGGTTACCAACTCTGGGTAGCTCATGTCAGTCATACCGATCGGATTCTTGAGTGGAGTCACTCAAAGCAAACCAAAGAAAATTAAGGGCTGGTTGCTCCCTTGAACAGACTAAAAATCTTGTTATTTAATATAAACTGACCATACAGAATTCAACCTGTCGAAAGGTTTTCAGAGACCTTATAAACGGTGCTGGGTCAAAAAAACTTCACTACATCTATTGTGGTCGCACCGGATAGCGTATAACCAAAGAGTTCGGCTTGTATAGAAACTTATTCACATGGAGCACGGCGGAATAGGTGGTTATGGAAAGATGTGGCTAAAGATTTGCATTCATACGGACGAAAGAACAACCACCATCTTTCCATAGATCATCACAGATACTGGGGAACACGGTTTACCTACCTCGAAAATTAGAGCAGGAAAATTGAAACGTATGATTCTGGGACCTGCTTGAGCCAAAGTCGACTGCGCCTTGCAAAATAGATTATAGCAAAGACCCGGGTCGTCAGTCCGTGGAATCGGTCCAATGAGATGTAGAACGCCGGCTATCAAACTCTGAACCTCGGCGAATTCATCCGGGTCGTCGAATATGTTCGAACTGGGAGAAAGTAAGCCGGAAATCAAATCGAAAAGACCGTCTAAATCGGCTTCGCTGGTTAAGCGACAGGAGTTATCTGACAAGACTTCATGTATTCCATTGGATGTTGGTGTTTGGGTGTGCAGAGTCTTCTTGACTTGTCGCTGGCGTTGGTCCCGTTCTAGAGTGCCAGCAAGTAAGTTGCAGGCGAGACGACATTTCGTTGTCTTCGGATCCAACAAGGTAACCAAGCGGCGAAACCCAGACATACCCAGAACCGTTCTCAGCTCTCCCATTGCTTCAAAGGGAGCACCGGATAGAGCATTGCCAGAGTGCCCTGTATTCGTACTCATGTGGAAAGGTGAACCGCCCAAAGGTAAATGGAGAAGATTGAGAAGTTCTTTTGAAAGCGGAGAGGCTGGGGCCACCCTATGTAAGTAAAACACAGTGCGGTATAACAGGACCACTCAATAATACCGGTGGTTCGAAATCGTTCCTAACCGGAGAAGATGCGAAAAAATATGCACAGGTTGGAGATATCGTTTTCGTTCTCAACTCTTGTAGGCCGTCAATACTGTTCGGAGGTTCAACTACCCAAGCTACTGAAGATAAGTAGAAGTGTAATCATCACCTTTGTTAGTATGACAACGATTTCGTGCTTCATGCCGTTAGATTATGGAAGCTGAAACCTGGTGCTAAAAATTCAACTTACTGTGCACCAAGTGAATAAGCACTTAAAGTAACCACGACGGAACTAGACGATCATATATATATATATATATATATATATATATATATATGCTCCTGCATTCNATTCCGCACCGCTTCCCACATTTCTATGTGATAAGCCAACCAGTCAAGGGTGAGATGTACGACGATATATGACCAATATATCTGAGCAACATGAACAGAAAACATCAACAGCTGCGAGCTTGTCCTTTGAGGTCTTAGAAGCACTGCATGGGTCGAGTGGAAACTCTAAAAGGATAGCACACAGGCACTCAAATGAATTTGAGTCTTTGAGAATAACCGAGCATTTATCACTCTGCGACAGGGCCGAGAAGTTGAATACGTGGTCAATTCAATTGCAAACCACCAAAACAGTGTAGCTGAATCGGGATTTGTGGCATGATGCTTAGCCAATCAAAGCCAACCCACAAAAACGCGCTTGAAGTAGCAGAGGCGATTACAATTAGATTAAGTAAACCAAATCATCGAAAAAGGCAAGTGAAAGCAGTGACTATAAATTCAATCATCATCAGCAACACAGAGAAAACTGATGCATGTTCAACTAGTGAACTCTCTCTAGAAGAGGCTCAAAGATTAGGCTGAGCACTAGTTGCCCACGCGTTTTAAACAATACTATCCTACGTACTATCCCCCCATCCATATGAACCATTTCTAAACGTACACGTCTTATGTGATTGCATCGAAAACATTGCTGTGTGGAAGAGGAATGGATGGACCGAGTCCTTTTAGCTAATACCGACTGGACGGTACCTCGTAATTGTAAAAGTTTGCCGCGCCCAACTTTCACTTCTAATTCTTCGAAGGATGTGGCTTTCAAGTCGAAAGCTTTTTTCGAACGGTGCCATTCCAATTCTTCGATCAGCAGTAGAGGGACACACAGGACCGTCCTATTGTTTCGATTGTGGGATGCATTGGTGTGGCAGCTCAACGAATGTTCCTCAACGCTTTGTGATTATTAGGGATTATTGTGGAACTTTGTTTAGATATGGTTTCGACGCCTGCTGCCTTAAACTTGCTCAGTAATCTTCTGAAAGCAAGCAGGATGTTGCTTAACAGGAATTCATGCAGACAGAATTTGATAGATAGGAAGCTATCGTGTCTGCTAACCCAACAGTTGCAATCATTGTGATTTGCTTTTATTGTGTCAGGGTTCGGTAGTTAAAGGCAGATCACGCGCCCACATACCGCAGTTCCGTGTGCTCTATTTACTTTGGTGTTACGGCGCCACTCGAATTATCCGCAACAGGCTGGGCACAGTCTTGTTGACACGAAACACACTTTTTATTCAATGTTCTGTAGGTTTGTTTGAGTGTGCGCTACGTAGGATTTGGCGATTTCGGTTTCCCCGTATTGTGGTTAGTGACGTACCATTCATTTCGGAGCTGGCAATGCAAGTTCACATCCTCCGACGCTAAGCAGATGATGAATACGGCCAACTGATATATCGCACCACCGCACGATTGTCATGAGAACAAATTCAATAAGCGGTAAACACAAAACAGTTTAATGCACACAATCTAACCACAGAGTTTGATTAGCACTTAAAAAAACTGAAAAGGCTAAGAAAAAATGTTGGCAGTGTTCCATGGTCTCTAGTGATAGCCAAAACCATTCAATTGCTCTGGATTGACCACGTCCTGCCTCTGCCACTTACGAACTTACAGACATTCATTTTTTGGATGGTTACAAGATAAAAGCACCCCACGGATAACAGAAAATCGAAATTTAACTGAACGGAATGTGGACGCCAATTTAGTTATAATTACAGGAACGACGCTCTCTAAACACAACGGAATGCCAATTACGAAGGAATGGCGTCTTGTACACTTCAAAAAAATTATGGCACATTGAGGACCAACATGGCAACCAGGCCTGTGAAACAAAGACATAAAAGCCATAAAATGGGGTACATCACCGGTAAACCCAGTCATTGTAAGCATATCGTTTGAAACCATAATGGCGTCAACCTGGTAGACGCAGTGTCAGCTGTCCTCGTTGGCACTGTTTTGCACAGGGCGGCCCACCACTATAAGAAGCAGATTTGTGACAGTCATGCTTCCCCATCACCTTTGGGGTAGCCATCTTCCTAGCAGGTCTTTTCTTAGACAGTTAGCATGTTTCCCATGTACCAAATCCTTCGGAAACAGGGATAGTCACAAATAACTGGGCTGCAAGGCCCGGTACACACTCCAAAACTGCAAAGTTCGTAGCGATAGTGAAAGATGGGATACCAGCAAACCTTCACATTTTTCTTCCTTTCCCACAGGACCGGTGATTTCACTAGTCAGGAAGACCGACGATGGCTTCGTCAACCTCCGGAAGCAACGGAACTGACTCACACTCACCTTATTCGTCACCGCCGTAAAGAGAGCAGCGCTAGTTTTTTTTTACCACCGCGAGCATCGTAGACATCCGGTGAGAACATTGAATTAGCCATTCCAATACAGAACTTGTGAAATAAATAACTTTCCCACAAGCCACAAAGCACAGAATGGAAACGACCTGTGACTTGGGAACAAAGTAAAAAAAACCGTGACTAGCCGATCAGCTCATAACGCAACTTTCTTGAAGACAAAGGCTGAAATCTGACAGGTCGTGATGTAGAGCAGAAGTAGCGGAATTCTAGCAGAGGAGCTCAACCGGGTTAAAGTGTGGTGCCTCGATGCCGTCACCTCATGCAGCTAGTGAACTTGCGTTTATTCGTTCGCCGGTACACTTTAAATTTACCTCTCATACTTCCGATTTTATTTTATAGGTTCAGAGGTTGTTTACATGGCAGTTTCCACTGAAAAGGATCCAGCTATGACAACCTTTCGGTCGATGGGTTAAGAGTTTAGAGTTACCCGAGCCTAAACGAGAGACATCGAAAATATAAGGACTGGTTCGAAGCACGCAGCTCTGTGTCAGTAGGTCGGGCATAAACCTAAGAGGCACGTAAAGCTAATGATCCTCCGATAATAGGGTAGTGAAACATGCCTTCCAGTGACGTTATTTTATCTTCCATACGAAATAGTTTTAGCCTGGATGTGTCGTTAGCGGACAAATCACATTCAAAAGACTCGTCTTAGTGCTTTGATAATATCGGGAGGCTGAACGTGCAACCCTGCAAGAAGTGACTTCCCGTCACCATCTTTAAGTATATGGAGGATAATCGGACCACCACCATCCCATTGGGCGCAAAATATATATGGTCTAGCAGTGATGCAAGGCTGTTTCGACTAGTCAGTCTGCAATTTTGGCTAGATAATGACTTCCCTTGTCACACCGAACTTTTGAAGTATTATATATACAACGAAGTTATTAAGTGACTTTCTGGTTAGCACTCCCCTCACTGCATTTACTGTGAGATGCAACTATTTATTTGCAAACACCTGATTTTATCACCAGGAACCATCGGTTGGGCATGCTGATCACTTCATAAATTCGCCCTCGAGTCCACTCACAGCTCATTGTACACCACTTATGGTGTTACGCATACCGTGCGAGGGTTCAATAGAACAGTTCGCCGAACACCCGTGCACCCTTTCCTCCACGAAGGTGCGGCTGCTAAGGCACCGAGGGTAAGCTCGGAGATCGAGTTACTGAAAACTTGGCGAAGCCCGGATGCAGGCTATCAACAAATCAGAGGTCGATTCACACCAGATCGCTTTAGAGACCGCACTGTTTGGAAAATTCAGGATTGTTGGATGTAACTACCAATGACATATTACTGAGACCCTGTGAAAACCTGATCACTCACCATCAGAAAAACAACTCAATAGGAAACTCCGAACACCATCAATTCACGGATCTATCATGGATTCAACTCAAACCAATTGAAAAAATGGTAGCAGTTACTTCGAATAAGATCATAAAAATGGCACACACCAGGTGTTTAGTTGCGTAAACTGAACAATACTCAATAAAACAAAGACACACTGGTCAATAAATATGGAACTCACAGACTAATCCCGAGCTGCTCCAGGCTGTCAGCTGTAGCCTTTAAACAGATGTCAACTAACGACGGCGACTGTTTCGGATACAGGACCATTGCCAAGTAGACCAAGGAAGCAAACATGGCTGGGATATCCTCCGGTGGGAGACCGTGTAGGGTAGCCAAATTAATCAGGGCATGGCGACCACTAGGGATTTGAGTTTCTGGGCCCATTCTACTCAGCCTAATCCGAGCTTCAATCAAATCACACAGACCATCAAAGAATAGTGTGAACAGGGCGGTTTCTGAGTCCAAATTATATTCTGATTCCGGAACTGACTGCTTTCCGGGGGCAGAGTCTTGGTCCGGTGGAACATGAGCGCAATTAGTGGTAATAGCTTCAGGAACAATGAGAGAACGACCACTTGCCAGTTCATTTAGAGCAAACTGGGACAACCTGAAAGAAGATTATAACAACGGGTATTGTGAGAAATAAGACGGAGTCTGAAACGAGGGTAGCATAAAAGTCAGGAGAAAGTCATCTGTAAATTCTAGGATACAGGAATTCCGTAAAACTAGTGAGGTAACGCGTCACAGCAGGTACAAATCGGGGAGCCGAATTCAAATTTGTTTCAGTATATCGTACCCCAAGCTCATAGAGACAGACAAATCAGATCACCACAGGCTCCAGGACCGTCCCAACCGTGGTAAACATAGTTCCGAGGCAACAAAATCCCGAAGGTCAGCACGTGGATGTTGGTGTTCTGGTTGTAATCACGCCTTTCGGAAGTCCACAGCTCTCTTTGAAAGTGTGTTTTCTCCATGTGGAAGGTTGCAAGTGTTGAACATACAATCAATTCTAAGCCGTCTTGTAGAGGTCATTAGAATAGTTTCAAGAGGCATTGCGCCAGCATTCCACTCAGATTGCACGGAATCAGCCGCTGCGATTTTCAGTGTTAAAATGAAAACTGAATGGTAAAAGCAACAGAACCTGTTGAGCCAGAAAAACACCACCCTTCCTTCACACTGATTTGAGTAGATGAAAACCGAATCTAAATGCATAAGACGCCTATCGTTTGGTGTAACGAACTAGACCAACCGGCTAGCGAAAAGGCAAGTACTAGAAAGACACAAGTCTCAACCCTTTAATAATAGGGAGCGAACCGGTACCCACTTGAATGTAACATACTCACCTCTCCACAAGACTGCATATGATCTGCCTGAGCCGCACGCCAGGCTGCAACTGGTTGCACGTTGCCAAAAGCGTACGCAACGTGGACAGATGAAATTCATCGGGAAACACCTGTGAAGGGGGGAATACAGTTTGGCTGTTAGACAACTGGAAAGTGCTGAAGAACAGGACTGTTCCCGGCATCCCCAGTGATAAAGTCAGAGTAAAGTGGACTCTTAAGATGGAGTGAAGATATTCTCAAAGGACCGGTCATATTTGAGCAAAAGGTGTGCACACTTCACAGGGAACTTCTTCAACCAAACATTTAGAATGTTAATCGAAGATGCTAATGCTTTGTATGGAAATTTGAGGCTACACTAAATTATCAATTGCGCGATTACGTGCAAGTGTAATTTTGGCGCCAAAATGAGTGGATGAGGTTCCCGAGTTCAATATCAATCTCCTGATACGCATACTATATCACGCTTCACAATTTGAGTGAACGATTTTGTTCCACATAAATTCACTTTGTCCGAACATCTCGAGTGGTAATTACATCCGAAAGTCACTCGCAAAAAGTAGCCGGGATACAGATAGCTGATTTTGTCCCCAGAGTGCTTACGAGATAAAAAGACAAAGAGGCCCCAGGTATACAGAATGGCAGCTCCTAGATTTTATAGAAAAGGGTCGTTATCCTTAAGTCAAGCTATTCATACCAAGTGATCCGGTGCTAGTGAATTCTCTTCTGATTGAAGACTCAGACGGCTTGTGCGACTTATTTCTGAACGGATTACTTGCAGTTTGTTGCAATACTTGATGGAGTATAACTCGTTTAGGCATTGGCAGATAATTCCTCGAACTTGATGCAGTTGTCAAAACGGCGTGAGTTGCGCAATATGGTATCGTTCAAGGGATACCGAAATGGATACTCAGTAGGGGTGAACTTGTCTCTAGGTATTTAGTAAACTTGCATACCCATGACTGAGACATACTAGTGGATTGTTGTACACCTGTACAGAGCGTATAAGCTTAGTGCCACCTAGATAAACTGGGGTAGGAACTTCATGGCAGGATCACTCATTGAGATGTACTCCAATTAAACAAGAGAAAAAATGACGACTACCAGGAAGTGAACCAACATCGGTTAGTTGCGTGCGTGTTCATCGTGTGCCCAAGCCTCATCACGTCTACTATGTAACACAACTGTGGAATATTTTTACGAATGGTGCTGTGCACCTATCCTGTGCTAACTTTTCGGTCAGCTAATGAGAGTTCGCCGATGCGGCATGGTGGTTTGTCAACAACGTTTGCGATATGAACCGTTTGTTATGAGTCAACCAGTGAATTCCGCCGTGAAATGGGGTAGTTCTTGGGGGTGAATGCGATCATTTTGGAGCAAGGAAGTGTCATCAATTCGGTCCTCAAGTGTAGGTTTCCTCGCAGAATAAAGCAGCATAAAACGATTGGATTGGTCGAAGTAGTCAACCCAGAGGGGGTAACACTACTAACAATTCAATTTACTGACCAGTCAAGTAAGCCAAAGGTAGACGAGTGAACTAGAGTGTATAGAGGTTGAATTTCCTTTCCGGCCTTTACTTGTAAGCAAACACGTGTAGAAGTGAATACGATGGGGCTGACAATCAATCCATAGGCGTCTTGTGGGTTTCGAACCCGGATCGCCATAATGTCCTGCCATTACCACGACAACTAAGTCAGTATCGGGAGCGTTTCTGAACGGGACGCAGCAGCATGAACAGAGCTTCGCATGAGATATATTGATGGAGCGACACAAGAATTTGTGTAACAGTAACGTCAACAGCGCCACATGGTTTTTGTTCGAGAGTGCAGTCAAAGCAGTCGGGACGCCCGGGTTGAATTTGAACCATGGAACTTCCGGTTAGTAAGTTCGCGCATCAACCACTGAGCTATCTCGATCAGGATCCCGTTAGACCATGTGCAACAGAATCCACACCGTGATTAGCCTCGCCGCACCATGATGAGGAAGGGATGCCGATGGTACCGTAATGACTATGTATGGTCACATCGACTCGGCGACATTGCAGTTCACTAAAGATTACGAGGATGTCACCGTGAAGTATTACTATCTAACGTTACTTTTGAGTAGACATTGTTTTATAAGCGAGAAAGATAGGTAGAACGGTATAAGATTTAACAGTCAACAGAACGATTAGTACGAAATTAAAATGCCTTGTCTTGCTATGAATCACAACCGAGCATTTACTTCCACATTTGGTCACGTCGATAAAGATTTCTAGAGAATATATTAAATACTTGGCGAAATTAAATTTTGAATGGGAAGCCCAGTACGAATATTTCAAATAGAAAGACGAACACCCTTAGACAAGATGAGAACCCGTGACCTCTCGAAGGTACTTGGGTTCTTTATCAGAATTATACAAATGCCTGTACGTTGTTTGTACGTGGGTTGGGATACTGTCAGGGCACCCACACCTAGACAGGAGGACGATTAGGGTCCTTTGGCTCAAGAGCCTAAACGCAGCGGTGGTTGGCGGGAAATGCAAATGCACTACCATTTCTACGGAACAAGTCGCCACATGTTCCAAACCCCAACCTGGAGGGCCAGGAGACTGTTCGTCATACCTCTAACCATTGACCAACCTGGTATGAGAGACTCTGGGAGTGTCGCGAGACACTCTGCAGTATAGCTCAATGGATCGCTGAGGTGCGCAAACCGTCACACCACGGTAAGGTCCAGTCTCTTCGTAACGGCATACTGAATTACGAGTATACCGAATCAGTAGTTACAAGAAGTCCTACAACACTGTTAGTCTTGGTTGGATTATCGTCACACACACACACACACATCAACGTGTGACCGTTGAATACTGAGTCCCAACTTCGCTTGACCTCACAACGAGATATAAGTACGTTCAGAACAGGTTCACAAGGAGATTCGATTCAATCGAAGCGAGAGAACGGAGATGGCGATGAATAGGCGTTCGAACAAATTTTGTACAAGCCGAAAGGACATTAACTAACAATACAAACACTAGTAAAAAGAAGTCCAAAATACGGAACGCTCACCTGAATGATGACATCCATAAGATATTCCTGAGCGATCACATCGCGACAAACGATCAGTTGTTCAATGATGGGTGGGAGCACTTGCTGGATAAAATAAGAGATCAAAGCAATGAGACTAAATGAAGGCTAGTAGCAGAGGCACACGAGCACTGAAAGACAACAATAGAACGGGGCATAACACGCCTAATTCCGTCTAGGAATGAGTGGGGCGGAATGAAAAGAGAAAGATGCGGTTCCTGAATAGCGCGTGATATGAAACCAATGAATACTACACAATGGCAGTAAACAGTAGTCTAAGTTCGTCCCGGAAGATAGCGGCTCATAGAAAATTAATCAAGGCGCGATACTAAAACCAGTTAGCGGGGAAAAGTCGAGGTCCTGATTAAGATTTATGGTTAAACTACAGGTTAGATTAACGAAAATATAGAGAAAAATTCTAAAGCGGTGCGCAGTTTGAGTGGCTCCCTTTCGCTTTAGCACCTTGGTTGACATTTTTCAGTGTCTAACGGAAGAGGGGTAGACCAAACTTCTTTTAGAAACACCTCTCTGTTACGGTTCAGTCACGCAGCGAGCAAACAATATGATAATGCGGATTGTGGCAATACTCTATCCCCAGCTATGTTGCTTGATACAGACTCCTAGCACGGCGAATAGTAAGAAGACGAGAACCTCGGACA